CAGAGAAGTATTCATTCGAAATAGTTTAAACAATCAATTACACTATATATGTCAATATTATATCATAATGATACCCTAAATTTCCATCCTCATTTTACGTATGTAGATGAAGTGGTAATTGTACCTCTTTGTGCAACTCAACAGCAAATAACGTAATTACATGATGCATTAATTTATTCGTTATCTAATAATTTCTTACGTCTAATCAAGTATTCCATTTTGTCAAAGGAATTCATTCACCTTTATAAGATTCTTTGGGTGTGATTAGTAAATGCGGGTAGAGCACTTCACTAAGACAAGAAAAGGAGTATTATATTTGTAGTTTCGAGAAATACAAACGAGGTCAATTATGTGCATCATTATGAAATATACGCAAAAGTTACACAAATCATATAAATGTACATACAGAAAGAGTGACATATACACAAAAGTGAACTACATCTTTAGGACACTGGAAAAGATAATTGTTTAAAAAGCTCCAAGAGATTTCATAGTGATGCTTTCGAGATGCTTGGCAATGAACACTTTCTAGATGAATGTTCTCCTTGAAGTGTTTATATACTTCGGGACTTTCAAATATTGCATCTTGGAGAAGAATGCAAAGACAGTTATGGTGAGAAAAACTTCTAAATGACGTCATTTCTACCGAATGTTAAACTGTCTGACCTAGTCAGTATCTGATTGGTGAATGTATTACGAATAAGTCACAATTCCCCAGACTTTGATTTATGTCAGCACTTACTTTTGGGGATGCAAAATGTCCGATTTCTAAATTTACATTCAAGCATTACCCTGTTTCTACATGACGCTGCAAAACACAACGGTCTACATTCCACGCAGCTATCTTGTGCAGCTTCGTGCAGTATGGAATGAAACGAATTTTTTGTATGCTGCATGATTGTACTATAGCGCTGGGCAAACCTCAGCAGTCTCGGAGGGACCTGAATCACTGAACTATTGACTGAAAGACAAGGGCCTGATTCAATGGGTCTATCTACTTGCCCACTGGCAGTTGAATGTACTTTGTGCAAGTTTGCTGTCCCAACGAAATAAGGCTATTACATGTCGCGGACATGGAAAGGCTCAAGATAATCACAATCACCCTCGTAGCATGAGCAGTTCCTCTTGAAATTACCAAGTCAGTAATGCAGGCGTTAGGCAAAGACTTCCAGCTAAAACAAGTCATTCAGTTGATAAGGTGGTCAATATTCAACGATTCAGATGCCTGGGACACGCGTTACAAGTGACTAGTTACTACCAGCCTTCTCGTGCTATTTAGGCTAAAGTAAGCATAATATGTTTATTGATTTATTAGATTTATCACACAATGTAACACTATTGTTTACTGGATTACGTTTCGGACATAGTTCATTGTCCGTAGTCATATCAAGATAACTACACAACTTTGAGATATCCTTGATATAGTCCTAATTTTCTCGTCTCTTTGTGAGATGGGCAGGAAGATTTTCCATATATCCGGAACATGTGCTGAGTCATTCTTGTTGCATGTGTTACGTGTTGATTCGATAAACAAAGATTCAGTTATCAATCTCTCCCTCCACCCAATTATATTAGTTTTAAGAATTTTCACCCTTTCCCATCCTATTGTGTGGTTGTGTGTAATGGCATGCATAGAGCTATGGCTGAGCTTTTTCCTAAATTCCTTACCTTACTAGGATCTACCAATTTTGACCTAGCTAAGTTTCTGTGTTCCGATAGTCTAAATGATCCTGGTCGACTACTTTGACCTATGTGTTTGACCTCGCAATCGTTGCAAGGGATTTGGTAAACTAAGTTATTCTGCTTAATTGAGGCGATAGGATCTTTTTAACCTACAAAGCCTATTTCGAAGTGAGTTTGTAGGTTTAAATGCCACTGTAATCCCAGCCTTGTTGAGAATTCTATGTAGTGTTTCTGAGGTGTTTTCTTTGTATGGTGATACTGTGGAGGTTTTGAATTCCCTATTCACAGTATTGCGGCTACTATTCTTAACATCATTATTACTACTATTGTTGTTTTGATTACTACTATTAATAACTATGTTACTGATATTTTTTTTACAATTCCTAGGGAGCTTATCATTTAATTTGGGAGGGTAATTGTTGATGATTAAGGCATCTTTAATGTATCTGGTTTCTTGTTTTAGATCTTCTGTTTTACTGGTAAGTTTTGACACTTTACTAAGCCAACTTTAACTGATATAGGGTGAGATGATTTGAAGTTTAAATAACGGTTTGAATGTGAAGGCTTTCTGTAGTTACTAGTGTGTAAACTTCCATCTTGTTTCCGTTTTATTCGGCAATCCAACATCGTTAATTCTCCTTCACTGTTTTCTAATTCATAGGTGAACTGGATTGCGCTACTACTGAATTTATATGTGTGAAGAAATTACGTATGTGTTCTGATTTCAACACTGTAAACGCGTCGTCTACGTAGCGAAACAATATTTTTGGAGCCGGACTAAATTTTTTTTACAGCCATCCGTTCCCACCTATCTACAAATATGTCAGCCACAATAGGGGATATTGGTGATCCCGTGGCAACTCCTTCTGTTTGTGTGTATATTTTATTCTGAAACCTAAATATTGTGGAAGTTAGGCATAGCTGTACTCCTAGCATGATATCATCTATTGGTAACATAGTTCGTAGTGTAAGCTCGTGGTCATTATTGAGCTCGTTTCTAACTGCTTCCAGGGCTATACTAATCGGTATATTGGTATACAGACTAACTACATCAAAACTAACGTTTTTTTTCATCGTAATCTAAATGTATGTCATCTAATTTGGGCTTTAAGTCATTAGAGTTAGTAAGTCATGATTTAGAATGGTTCCTAATTGGGTTTAGTACTATCGCCAAATATTTGGATAAGTCATAGTTAGTTTTTCTAAAGTCTACTGTAGGTCTTATAGGATAACCTGGTTTATGAATTTCAACAGTACCATATATCCTACTGGGATTATTAGTTCTCGGCATAAAATTAAACCATTTAGATTCACTTAGAAACTGCTTCATTCGGCGTATTAGATCCACCATGGTTCTTTTAACTTTATTCATGATAGTGTCGATTGGTTTCTTAATTTCTTCGTAGGGTCCTGTCTCTATATGCTCCTTGACTTTCTGAATATAATTAGACTTGTTTAACACCACTGTTGAGCTGCCTTTGTCCAATTTAGCAATTACTATATCCTTGTCATTTCGAAGGTTCTCCAAAGCTTCTTTTTCTGCTTTTGGTAAACAAACTCACTTCGAAATAGGCTTTGTAAGTTAAAAAGATCCTATCGCCTCAATTAAGCAGAATAACTTAGTTTACCAAATCCCTTGCAACGATTGCGAGGTCAAACACATAGGTCAAAGTAGTCGACCAGGATCATTTAGACTATCGGAACACAGAAACTTAGCTAGGTCAAAATTGGTAGATCCTAGTAAGGTAAGGAATTTAGGAAAAAGCTCAGCCATAGCTCTATGCATGCCATTACACACAACCACACAATAGGATGGGAAAGGGTGAAAATTCTTAAAACTAATATAATTGGGTGGAGGGAGAGATTGATAACTGAATCTTTGTTTATCGAATCAACACGTAACACATGCAACAAGAATGACTCAGCACATGTTCCGGATATATGGAAAATCTTCCTGCCCATCTCACAAAGAGACGAGAAAATTAGGACTATATCAAGGATATCTCAAAGTTGTGTAGTTATCTTGATATGACTACGGACAATGAACTATGTCCGAAACGTAATCCAGTAAACAATAGTGTTACATTGTGTGATAAATCTAATAAATCAACAAAAGTAAAATTACATTCCACCGCAGTGCACAAGTTTTACTCTTATATTAAAGTGAGCATAGATTGAGAAAAGGTCAAAGGCGACCAAACTAAATGAAGAAATCAGTTCATGAAGTCTCCTATTGTTCTTATGAGTCGTGTAAGGAAATGTGATCTTTCCCGTTACTTCTCACGTGACAATCGAAATGGATGGTTGGAAGCACTAGGTGATATAGCTCAAAATCGATCTCATTGGTGTATATGCCTTCACACATGGTCTTCATCCTAATCGTTTTGTCGTACTTCGTTGTTGCTTTATCCCTTCAGTCATTGCAGTGTCTTCGGTTTTTCACTCTTTTTTTCATCTATTTCACTGAATTTAGTGTCAATTAAAGCAGAATACTATCGATTCTGATTGTGTTTCTTGGTCCGCTCTTTACCTCCTGTAAATTTACCAGGCAGAAATGTAAATATTAAAATTTATAAGTGGGAAGAATTTCCACTATGAATGGGTCAAGGGAAGGGCAAAATTCATCGTGCTTAAGTAAAACCAATAGAATACAAAAAATCAAATTCAGCATATCTTAAGAAAACTAAGGCCCCAAGTGCATTCTGTAATCGATGAAAATACCGAGTGTACTAAAATTGATGAGAATAAAGTAGCTTAACTCGGTAGAGGTTTATGTGCTAGGCTGTGAGCCATACTTAATGTGTGAGTACCAAAGTAACCGGAACGTGAAGCGAACTCAGGTATCATTTTGCTTGAAAGTCACATGTTGAGGATAATGAACCACAGCTCATTTAAGATGGAAGGTAATCAAAGAAGAAATGAAAATAATACTACTATAGTTCATTGAAAGCCATGCGACAAAAAAAGAGACAATGAAATGAAGATTTAGACGAAGGTAAAGCATGAATATACCTATGTAGTTGCTATTGATTTTGAGCCGTCAAAAGTAGAGTGATTAAGCATCAATTCTGATTTCCTCTTGGAGCTCAATCAGAGAGTAAACATTACTTCACACATCTCACATTAACAAAGCTTCTTGCCATGTTATGCTCTGAACACTTTCACCTTCTTTTCACACAAAAGCATGATAACAGAAGTCAATGAATACAGGTAAGCAAAAAAAAAAAAAACAATCATCTACACGAACAAATGTAGGAGAATCTTAAAAATTGTAAAAAGTTCTTCGCTTCCCTTCTTTATTATAAACAAAAACTTACGGGATTTGTTAATCTATTCAAAATAAGATTGATTGTCTTCAAAAATATCGAAGCTTCTTCTTGTTCAGGGAAATGTAAACCATAAACTCTTGAAGTGATTGGATCACGCCATTCATGAAACTGTCCATGTATTTGATATTCTAATCCACCTTTCAATACTGAATTGACAACAACCTATCATTGAAACGAAATCGAAAAATATCGTGATGATGAAGATAAGGATTCATACAGGTGATTTGAAATTAGAAACGAAAAGACAAAAGGTTGACCTAGTTGGTGACTCATAAGAAGGAAGAAATATCGGTGTCATGTATGATTACAAAAAGATCAATACAGTTTATTCTCATTTATAAATTGAACAGAGAGTGAAAAATGGAAACACATTGATGCCTTCAAGTCAGTGTGAGATATTACAAGCGATCAGTAATAATTAGGTTACAAGTAAGTGTAAACGTTACAAACTATACGTCCTAAATTATGTGTAGCAACCAGTAACACCTACTGGCTGTCCTGAGGAAAAGAGACGGTGAAATGATTTAGAAAACACAAACTATTACACTGGTTATAGTAAAGATGGATAGTGGCTAGCAGTGGAATCCACGATGCACATTTCGTCCTGTTCGGGATTCGTTAGCTGGATGATCATCACCACGATAACATAAAGAAATATTTGATAAGTCATTTGTATGCTTCAGTGTACAAATTTATTTCATTATTACTTGTCCCTTGGGTTCCTAATGGAACATATGGCTTCAGTAGCACGTCTCCATTCCACTCTGTTCTCTGAAACCTTTTGAACCTGGCTCCACAACAGCCCACAAGCTCTCATTTCCTCCTCGCAAGATCTCCTCCATGTCACCCTCACCTCGGACGCCAAACTCGTCGCTTCCCATCTGGATTCCACTCAAGTGCCTGGCCTGACGTGTGATGTCCCCAGTCGACCTTCTCAGTGTATGCCCACTGCAATCCATCTCCACTTCCTTCCAATGCATATTTGTTGAGCGATTGGTTCTTAGTTGGTTCGTTCCCAGAGTTCCTCGTTGCTTATTCTTATTATTCTGGCCATCTGATCTTCAGTAACGAGCTAGCGTAGGTGGCAGTTGTTGATGAATGTCTGTAGTTTGTTGGAAATCCCTTTCGCAACGCACCAAGTCTCTGAACCAAATAGGAGCACTGACTAAACGTTGGTGTTGAAGGTCCGGATGTTGTTCGCGCTTTATGCTGAGTGCAGAAGATCTCCATGCTGGTTTTAGGCTAATGAACGCCTGTCTTGCTTTTCCGACCCTGACTTTGACGTCCTCGTCTGTGCCTGTGGCGCCTGTAGTTGAAACAGTGCTGCCTAGATAGGTGAAGGAGGCTACTTCCTTTAAGTTTCTCCCGTTCATGGTGATTGGAGCTTGTGGTGTTGTGGATGTTGGTTGGCTACCTTCATCACCTCTGTCTTCTCTACGTTAACTTGAAATCCTGTCTTCGCTGCCTCTTCTGCCAACTTGCTAGTTTCCACCTGTGGATCTTCCAGTTTATGCGACATCAGACACAAGTCATCGGCGAAATCCAAGTCTTCTAGGTTCTTTTCCGCAGTCCAGTGTATCCCCCTCTTCTCGCTCCTCATGGTTTGTTGCATGACCCAGTCGACCACAATCAAGAATATCATGGGTAATAGTAGGCAGCAGCCTTGTCTTACTCCTGTCTTCACTTCAAAAGCATCACTGAGCCACCCGATGTGAAGTACTTGGCATGTGGAGTCTTCATACAGTTGTTGAATGAGGCTGATAAAGGTTTGCGGTATTCTGTAGTGTTGAAGCAATTGCCTGTTAAATTACTTGTCGGTTGACGCTGTCAGAGGCCTTCTCAAAGTCGGTGAAGTTAACGTAGAGAGTTGACTGGCATTCTATACTCCGTTCTATGATGATGCGTAGTGTAGCGTTGCAATTTGGTCCGCACATGATTTGTACTTCCTGAAGCCAGCCAGCCTGTTCCGGTCGTAATTTTGAATCGAGCGCATCCTTTAGTCTCTCCAGGATGATGCGGCTTAATATTTTGCTGGGGTGGAGAGGGAAGCAGCATGATTCCGCGCCAGTTCTTGCAATGGCTTAGGTCACCCTCCTTTGGCAGTTTGACAAGGTGGCCCTTCTTCCAATCGCCAGGTACCTTCTCTTGATTCCAGACCTTCTGCAATAGTGGTATGGTATGAGCATTCCATTGTTGTCTCTGCGTCTGTTCTCAGTGCTTCTGGCGGGATCCCATCTGGTCCTGCTGCTTTCCCACATTTCAGAAGCTTTATGACATTCAGGACTTCGACTTTCGTTGGAGGATTTGTATTCACTTGTAGTTCTGGGGCTGCAGGTGGCATTTCCGGACGAAGTGCAGGTGGTGGTGGTGGTCGATTCAAGAGCTTCTTGAAAGGGTCGGCCCATTGTTTCCTCTGTTTCTCTTCTTTCGTAATTAAATTTCCGTCATCATCTTTTATTGGTTTCATCTGTGTTGATCTCTTCTCACCCAAATAGTAGCCTGGTTATTTGATACAATGTTGTCAGGTCTCTGTTTCTCCTACCTGTAGCCTGTTCTGCTTCACTTACTAGTGTGTCGTGGAAGTGTCTATTGTCTCCTCGCGTACTCTTCTTCACTTTTTTGTCCAGTGCAGTGTTTTATAGGTTGTACTCAGTTCCTCCTCGTGTTGTGCATCCTTGCAGTGGTTTGTCTTCTGTTTCACCATCCTCCTCTCCTCTATCAGCTTCCAGGTATCCGTCGAGATCCATTCCTTGTCTTCTTTCTTCTTCCTTCCTAATACTGTTGTGCAGGTTTCTTTCCGCATCTCTTTCAAAGAGTTCCAGTGTTCTTCCACACAGATTTCTTCAAGGATGTTCCTCGATATCTTCCATTTTGTGTTGATGGCTGACATGAAGATTTCCTTTGTAGTTTCATCCTTCAGTTTCCGAGTGTTGTACTTAAACTGTGGTCTATCATCAACTTCCTTGAAGGCTTTTAACTTGATTTGGAAGGTTCCTTGCACTAGATAATGGTCTGAACCTACATTTGCTCCACTTCTTGACCTTGTGTCAAGTAGGCTGCGTCTCCACTTCCTTCACATTGAGATGAAGTCGATCTGATATTTAGTGTGTCTATCTGGTGAAATCCATGTCGCCTTGTGGATATCCCTGTGCTTGAACACACTGCCTCCAATCACCAAATCGTTGAATGCACAGAATTCTGTAAACAATTCTCCATTCTCATTCATTTCACCTAGCGCTTCTCGGCCCATGGTTAGTTCTCTTCCTGTGTTGTCCCCTCCCAGTTTGGCATTCATGTCGCCCATTAGAATTTTGATGTCGCCAACTGGTGTGGGGTCTTGTCCAGTGTTGATTGCAGTTGTCTGTAGAATTCCTCATTCTTCTCCTCATCTGCATTATTTGTAGGTGCACAGAGTAGCATTGTTGATTGTGACTTTCCTTCCTTTTGAGTTGAACCTTGCTGTCATGATCCTGCAGGAGGAGATTGGATCCCACTGCATGAGAGCGTTCGATGCTATTGGGGACATCATGATAGCCACTCCAACACTCAGTGTGCTCGTGGTTGTCGTCTGGGTGCCCGGAGTAGGTTATTGATTCTCCAGTTGACAGTTTGGAGAGTCCACTTCCATAACATCTGCTTTCGCAAATTCCAAGCACTTCAATGTGATATCTTCTCATTTCGTTTGCAATCCGGCCAGCCTTGATGGGTTCAAACATGGTGCGGACATTCCATGTCCCCACGTTTACTTTCGCTTTCATCGAGAGAAGACACGTCGGCCAATTGGCTTCCCGAATGCTTTCAACAACCAGAGTCCTTTCATCTCTCCGATTCCAGCGAGGAATAATTTTGTTTTTATTTTTTATATTTTGTTTGTGCTTTTAAGTTTCTTTAGCGGTTGGATTTGTTTTACAGGATAGGGTTGCTAGCTTTATGCTCAACCTTTCCTCTTTACCCGAGCTTAGAACCGGCTAGTAACTAGTGAACTAGTTAACCAGCTGTAAAAATTTAACACCTAAACAACAATGGTCACCGTGAAATTCTGCTAATTTCGATCGAAAAAATTTAATCGAACTCATCCAATGAGATGGAACCAATTGGTGGATATTTTCCAACTATCGTCGGTGTGAGGATCGTCTACTCTTATTGGTGGGTACTTTCTACACACTTTCGATTTGGTTGGTTCCAAAACTTACACCTTTCTAATACAACTGCAAACAGTCTATTTCGATAGCAGCCAATAATGAGTACTGAAATGTTATTTAACCTTATTTATTACACCGAATTAAAAATTCATTCGAGTTCTTCCGTGTGTTAGTTAGTTTTTTATATGAGTAATCAAAAGTATAATTTTCTGATCATCAATCATATAATAAATGTAAATCTATCAGAATTGCCACATGCTAATCACCATCATAGTGAGTTATCTTCAATCTTTCAAAAAATGGTGTGCAACTTTGACTCATATTTAGATATGAGCAACTTGTTCATATTCCAATAGCCAACGTTAAGCGTTCAAGATAATGATGATTGTGTGTTAGCAGTATGTTACAATAGGCACAAGAAATAGATTCTCATCTGGAAATCAATAAACTTCATAGAGTAAATCTAAACAAAACTGTTAACCCTAAACAAGTCACACTGTTCATCCGTTATCAAAGTTGTAGATGCACTACAAAATCAAATTTTACCAACTTTCAATAGTATCTATCACTATGAATCAAATAAATTTTGTAAAATCCCAATGAAGTAGAAAAATAAATTGCTGACGTTTCGGGACTTTGTGGAAATTCATTCATAATCCAATTACCCAATCCTCAACTTATTCAACTCTATCAGGTCAAATTTTGATCCTGAAGTTTACAAAAGTATCTATTACTGTTTAGTGTTTCACTTTCTCTCTCCTTCTGTGAGGAAAAAATTAAAGCTTGGTACAATCTTTTATTAAGAGCGAAGCTGTGCAATTTTTAAACAACATCAGTTTCATCAACTTAGTTAGATTAACAGTAAGAAAAAGCGATGGGCTAGTGAATATGGGTTGTTGTTTAACTGATTTTGAATAAGTTAATGAATATCTGCTTTATGCTGGAATCCCTGCATAGCTACAGAATGGAAGCAGTTGAGTAAGTGAAAGATGTAATAGATAATAGAGATGCATAATCAGT